AGGGTATTCCAGCCTCAGACCCACGTACTACTGAAACTGAACTTCAAGTTCAGAAAATTATACATTTGCAAAGATTTGCAAATAACCTGCCAGATGCATTTACCAATTATAAAGGTGTGATTAAATCTTTCATTCCCGCTCAGAATGCGCCAGAAAGAGTGGAGGTACCAAATAAAACCACTCAACTTCCACTCACTAAAAAGAGAGGAAGAAGTATGGCCACTCAGCGAGAAACAATTGCTAATAAGCAAAGAAAGACGGTAAATGCAAACCAACCTTTAGTTGGTACACACCAAATTGATACTATATATCAAGCAAATCATGATAGTCTGCAACCTAGCTCGGTGGTGCACAATGCTGAGACTAGGAATTCGGAAGACCATAGACACATTGTTTTGGGAGATCACGATGGGTCTATAAGGGTTGATGAAATTGTCATCAACTACTTTGAAACTGGAGAATCTTTTGATAGAAGAGCTACAATTGTCGACACTAATTTTTCTGAACAAATTGCTGATTGCCTCCAAGTTGATCCAGAACCTAGGTCTATAAAAGAGTGCCAAAAGCGCTCTGACTGGAACAAATAGAAGGACGCAATTGACACAGAATTAGCCTCGCTTTACAAAATAGATGTATTCTCGACTGTAATGCCTACTCCTCGTGGTATCTTTCCTATGGGATACAAATAGGTTTTCATCCGGAAACAGAATGAAAACAACGAGGTGGTGAGATATAAAGCAAGGCTTGTAGCACAAGGTTTTACGCAAAAACCTGGCGTTGATTTCAACGAAACTTACTCTCCAGTTATGAGTGGTATAACTTTCTAATATTTAATATCATTGGCAGTACAAAATCGTCTATTTATGCAGTTGATGGACGTAGTGACAGCATATCTTTATGGGTCACTTGATTTTGATATTTACATGAAGGTTCCTGACAGAATCAACATCCCGAATCAGAAGGTAAATCGTAACATATATTATGTTAAGTTGCAGAAATCACTTTATGGCTTAAAACAATCGGGCAGGATGTGGTACAACCGATTAAGTGAATTCCTTTCACTAAAGGGATACACTAAAAATGATGATTGCACGTGCGTCTTTATCAAAAAGTCCCCCACAGGATTTTGTATTATCTCGGTATATGTCGATGATCTCAACATCATTGGCAATACACAAGATATTAATGAAACACGTCATCATTTAAAGACGGAATTTGAGATGAAGGATTTCGGTCAAACCAAATTTTGCTTAAGTCTACAACTTGAGCATTTACCTTCTGGAATCCTTGTGCACCAAAGTGCATATACCCAGAAAATTTTGGAGAAATTTAATATGGACAAGTCATATCCTTCCAAAACCCCTATGGTGGTTCGATCTCTAGACCTGGAGAAAGATCCATTTAGACCAAAGGAAGATGGTAAGGATGTGCTTGGACCTGATTTTCCATATCTTAGTGCTATTGGCGCACTTATGTATCTTGCAAATAGTACGAGGCCATATATTGCTTTCTCGGTAAATCTATTAGCAAGATACAGCGCTGCTCTTACCAAATGCCATTGGACTGAAGTTAAGAATGTCTTTCGATATCTTAATGGCACAAGAGATCTTGGACTTTTCTTTAAAAAGAACTAGGATTCGACTTTAATTGGGTATACTGATGTTGGCTATCTATCTGATCCCCACAATGCCAGATCACAAACAAGATTTGTATTTTTACAAGGTGGAACTGCTATTTCATGGAAGTCTTCTAAACAGACTCTGGTAGCCACTTCCACAAATCATTCTAAAATAATTGCATTATATGAGGCATCACGTGAATGTGTATGGCTTCGCAGAATGGTTAACCACATATTAACATCTTGTGGTATTGGTTCATTGGAATCACCTACCATTATCTATGAAGATAATGCCGCTTGTGTTGTTCAGATGGAAACTGGTTATATTAAGAGCAACATCACAAAGCATATTGCTCCAAAATTATTTTATCCTCATGAGCTTCAGCAACATGGAGAGATAAACATCTTGCAAATTAAATCATCTGATAATCTTGCTGATTTATTCACAAAATCTCTGCCATACTCCACATTCTTTAAATGTGTCGAAGGAATTGGTATGAGATGACTTAAAAATTTGTAGGATTCAGGGGGAGTATCTTTCTCTGGAAAATAACCTATTTTCGTCATATTATACACTTTTTCCTTTGTATGAGTTTTACCCTTTATGTTTTCTCATCCAAAGTTTTTAACGAGGTAATATCAACATAAGCTTATATGTCTTATCATTTGGCTTTTCCCCACTAGGGTTTTTACTAAATGATAAATGTAGACATTATACTATTTTGGATCATACTATGAGCTTTACTCATAGAGATCTAAAAATAGTCAATAATATACTACGGTTCTCTCCTTATTTTCCCACTGGGTTTTCGAGGAGTTTTACGTCATGTATTTAATACAATAACTATAATTATTTCTAAGATTATCTTTACAGATATCTGGAACAATGAAAGAGCAATGATCAAAGCTGGATTCGATCAAAGGGGAGTATTATGAAATAACAGGGTGATCTCATCCATACAAAAGGATGGATCACAACCGGAGGCAATCGCGCCTCTTCCCTAGGCGCTCCTTGGCAACGGACGCGATGGTTCCCAACCATCGCGTCTCCGGTTGCCACCCCTTCCCCATGTATAAATTATACCACATTGATCAATAAAGTAATCTGCTCATTCTTGTGTTCAATTCTCTCTCGCTCAATCAATTCTATCCATTCTCAACATGAATGGACGCTTGGGCTAAAATTTTCCATATTGTTTATAGTGTGCATGCTTTCCAAACAGTTTGGAATTTATCGTGTTTCATATAAAACTTTTCTAGATATAGAAGTTTCTTAAAAGAGTCATATTAATCCATTTTTCCACATTGAAATAATTAATACTTAATTAAATATATGTACTAACGATTTATCTCATTTTACATATCAGTAAGTTGCTAAGTGCATGCAAATACTCTTTGAAATCAACCCATAGGATGTATAGGAAGGGCCTTAACGAGTTTATTTTTGGTTTTAAAAAAACTATATTAGCTTGTTTGATTATCCTTTAAAAAAGAAAACAAAGTCGTATTTATTCTCCCAAACTAATTGAATAGATCACTTGGCCTCTAAACAATTTTATCAGCTTTAAACTATTTTTTTCTCAATTTTCCCTCTAAGCGATTGAAAATGGTTCACTTTACTCGTTAATAAAATTTCTTTTTTTAATGTTACAATTTATACATGTTGTATTATAAGTTGAATTGTTTTAAGCCATAGATGGCACCATAACCTAAGTTTGAAAATATTTTCAAATTTTCTATGACCGTTTTCTTTGGGGTTTAAATCAATTTTAAGTGTTTCCAACCTGGGTAAACTAAGAAAAAAATTTAAGAAATGTTGAGACGTAAGCTATAGCCTGTAATGCATCATCCTTCCAAAATCTTAGTGCAAAATATGACTTAGGGCCTGTTTAGATCCATTTGGAATAGCAAATGGCAAATGGCAAAAGTTTTGGCATTGCAAAAGTACTAGTTGGTGTTTAGATGCATGTTAAAGTTTTGCCATTCTAGCACTAAAGTGAGAGAGAGAAAGAGAGAGGGAGTGGTCCCAAAGCACTTTTTGACACAATTTGCTACTATGGACTAGCAAATACCAAATGCCAAATTGCCAACTTTTGCTACTAGTGTTTAGATCCAAAATAGCAAAAAGTGCTACAAAATGGCAAAACTTTTGCCATTTTGGAGGATCTAAACAGGGCCTTACGTAGAGAGAAACGGAAAAGAGAAATAATGGTAACGAGGTAGCAAGTAAAGTGAATGATTTAGGCCATTCCCAACCCAAAATACTAGACACAGTTTCCATAAACTCCACATCATCAAGAAACTAGTACTAGACACTACTCTTCCAATGCAAACACTACTATTCCATACTTAGATTTAATGCTACTTATCTCACATGATGTCTTGAATGTTATGTAGAAACCACATGGTTTTTTTCTCTCTCCTCATTTATTTACTTGCCACATCATATCTCATCCTAGTTGGCATTGTATTTAATGCTATAGACACCATCCTAGTTATTGGGTTGGGAATGACCTTATAGTAGTTTAATTAGGGGGTTAAGTGATCCGGCAGCAATGTTCTGGGGAGTAAAATGGATTTTTTTTCTGTTAAGAAAATGGTTCTCTCCTATATGGTATGATATATGGTGTAATTGTTTTGGAATTTTTTTTACGGGAGAATTGCTTATATTTTCAAAAGCGCAATTGGCTTAGGCAATGTGGCCTGTTCTCCTGTCATCCCCTATTTAATTTGTTGAACTAGCCATCTGACCCGTGCGTATCCACATGTGCCTACATATTTAAACAATCGATATCAACTCAATAGTTACATCGTAGCGTTCTCTTCCAGTACTCATGGCCAATCGTAGCTTTGCTTTCTATGGTAAAATGGCTTTTTTTTAACACAAACATTTTATAATCTACGGTTCTAATATTGTGATGTATATCAGCTGCCCATTGTCCATATCTTCTTGGTTGTTGCCTATTTTATTTAAAACAAATTTTGAATATAACCTAAGGTTATGATATTATGATCTATCCAGCCGACGGCCCAAATTTTCTAGTTAACATCACAGTTTAATCGGAATGCCAAATTAGTATATGTGTAAATTAAATAGTTAGATAAATATATTGTTGAGTGTATATATATAAATATATATATATATATATATATATATATATATACACGATAACTATTTTAGTCAGCAGATCTATCACTATAGAGCTTTAATTTAGTGAATGGAAATACTCCATATTTATTTGTTTCTGACTTTTCAGTGCATGAATGGTCATTTATTTTCCAACTGCCAATCGCTTGCTTGCAAGCGATCGGTGTTATTATCGACGAATCCGTCTGGATCGATCATCATTATCTTAAAAATATGCTAAAGATATCAAGGAAATACGCTTTGGGGTGTGCCGTGTGCCTATATATATATTCAGAACACGTACTTAATTGATACGAGCGCAGCTCAATCATCAGGACGCTAAACTTGGTTCAAGGTGATATTCTAGTCTCTCTAGACTACATGCATGACGGGAGGTAAGTAGATTATTGTCTTTGAATATTTGGTACTGGAATTATATATCTACATATAGTAGCATATGTTACCTACTAGCAAGGCATTTTACTAGAAGTACTCAGTATAATGTGTCAATGATCTTGTACCGATCCACTCTGCCGTGTGTCATCAACGACGACCCTTCATCCTAATTTGATAATTAGGTTCTCTTATGCAACTCTGAGGTCACATATACGTACTGAGATAACCAACTTATAATTATTAACCTAACCATGCTATGAACAATTCTCTTCTATCGTAAGGCTTCCAATAATATATGACAAAATTCCGGATGAAAGACACGACACGATGTTTTAGTAGAGGTCAGGTCAGTATATGCACTAGCTACTTCCACCAATTAATCCACTCTGCGGATGTCGATCAACCCGTGTCATTGTGTGATAATTTGACAAAAGAAACCTAATTTCACAAATTAAGTGTACCCCAAGCGATGACTAGAGTCTCGCAATCGACTAGCTATAGGAGCTAGCAGTGGTGTTATCGGCTTGTGGTGCAGGTCTAGATGCAACTATATATGAGAATTAAGAAATGAAGCATGCATGAGGAACGTTCCACTGGTCACAAGGGAGCTCAACGAATGATCCGATTAGAGCGGCTACAATAATAGACAATAAGTCAAGCTATAAACACATGTGAATATGATAAGAGAGGGGAGAGAAGAGAAGCAGGCTACAACAAACATATTTATAGCAAGTTACAGCATATACTCTAAGATGTTGTGTGTGTATAATAGGTGTGACCAATTATTAATGATCATATACTATATATATTTGTAAGACTAACTATTATAAGGGAATTGCTAAAAACCCAAAATTTTTCAGTCGTCTGCCACATAGAGAGTCCCTTATATAAATTAGCTATTAGATCTATTATATACTAAAAGTTCATGAAACTTCCTACAAACGTTCCTAAATCGCCATGTGGCACTCCTATAAACGCTCCTAAACCGCCACGTGGCACTATCTAATCTCACCGTCGATTTTCACTTATATTGGTGGACCCGTTATTTTAGATCGTTAAATTGGATATACACAGTTGATTTTCACTTAATTTAGTAGCTAGACCATTATTTTAGATTTTATATATATATATACATATATACACATATATATATATATATATACATATACACATATGTATATATATATATACACATATGTGTATATATATATACACACGCGGTGACGCTAAGTAGCGCCAGTAACGCGCCACCAACTAGCTAGCGCGCCACCCAGCCTCCCAACCCTCTCCTCCGAGATTTTCGTTTTTTCTGGCGCCCCCACCTCCGCACCTTCCAAAAAGTAAAAAAATTACTCCGCCTCCTGCCTCCGTTTTTTCCGTTCCCAGGAGGATCGATACATCTTCCCCAAGTGCCTCCCTCATACCGCATACTTCCTTCTCAGTAAAAATTTTACTAAAAATTCTAGACCAATATCAGGCCTATTTATACATCAGTTAATTTTTTACTCCTCACAAGTGAGGGGCATGATAATACTTGTTAAGTTCAGTAATATTTTCACTCCCGTATAGTTTTTACATCACTTCCATAATTCTTTAGGTTAGTAATATATTTACTCAATCTATGGAAAAAAGGGTGAGCAAAAATTTTGCAAACATTAAAATTATCCACGGTAGTAATTTATTTACTACCATGTTTATCATGATTTGTTAACACATATCTATTTCAATGCACTAAGTAAAAAAATGGAAGTAGAAAATTATCAACCATCACAATACATTTATTTGCCATGCATATTTTTACATTCTATAATAAAAAATTTCACCGGATCATTTGACTTTGTGAGTCTGAAAACTACAAGGAACCTTTACAGTGGATCATATGTCCACCAGTAAAATATTACACAGTTAATCTAGAAGTAAAAAAAATACTCAGAAGCAAAACTACTAGTTTAAACAATTGACTCTGGCGATAGAACAATGTCGACATGCAAAAGGAAGACTGTTGACGATGTTCTCAGGTGGTTCCCACGAACGTGCACCAGGTGGAAGGCACCTGCCTCCGCCGACCTGACCGTCAGGCGATATGCAGAGCTGGAATCACCAAAGAGGCCAGCAATAGGACCTTCCGGACTCGGGTCAGCGACAAGGCCTCCAGACGACATGCTCGGCGTGGTAGCCCTTAGTGCAATGCTGCCCGTCGCGTCAAGCCTGTCGCCTCCTTGAATTTCACCCGAGCCGCTTCTATCACAAACTTCTAAGTAAGCAAATCTGACTAAAGTAAATATGATTCATGCATCTATCACATAGATAACACCAGAAATGTACTAATGAAAATGAGGAATGAAACACAATGTACTAT